CCGTTCCGCATTATGCGCGAGCACAACCGGGCGAGTGCTCGGCCGGAAGAGGCCGAAGGCACGTGGACTGGGACGAGTTCCACGAAATGCTGAACGGCAAGATCTACACGGCGGGCCCGGGGGTTCCCCGCCTGAAAGATTTTGGAGAAACAGCAGCGGAGTCGCAGGAAAGGTGAGAGAGTCGTAACCGGGCGCGAATAATTACATGATGCCTAGTAATTCATCTTGAGCCCTCATTTAAAGTTGCGTATGTAAGGGGTTGTGTCTATATACGGGTCTTGTTAAAAATACGGGCGGCTTATATATAAGTAGCCCTTACCGTATATATGTTGCAGCATGTACACGAGACCCGTCCATACGTGTATATCCCCCCAGGAAACCCCCTTCATCATGCTCACGCTCCTCATTTTGGATAAACGAGGAGGCTGAAAATACAGAGGGGGGTGAGAGATGGCAGCGCAAACGTTGCAATAATTTGAGATCAACATCAAATTGCTAAAATTTGGAATCAAATTGATAAAATTTTGAATCAAAATCAAACAATTAAGAATCAAAATCAAATAATTAAGAATCACATTCAAGAAATTATAAATCAAAATCAATTAATTAGTTATCAACATCAAATGAATAGAAATCAAAAGCAGACAATTAGAAATCAAAATCAAGAATGATCTTGAAGCTTTCGACCGTCAGATGGTAGCTCGGATCGATCGACGGGCTACCTTAGGCTCATCTGAAGCCGTTCATTGTCGTTTTTATGATCCGACGGTATCAATCGCAGAAGAGCCTTGGAGCAGCTCCCGGTGCGAGGTCGACCTGGTTTAGCCGGTAGGGTTAAAACCGATCACGGTGGCTCGTCAGGCAAACAGAGTACCTATAACCTAGGCCCTTCGGTCAAACTTGACATGAACACTGCATAATAATAAGGTAACTAATCCCGTGTAGGGGACTTTTTGCTATGAAGCTCTTGGCCGCGCGAGTTCACGGCTAGCTGACGCGTGTCCAGTACCCTAATTGACCTTATGCCGATCGCACGGTCAAAATTTGACTCAAAAGTGAAGTAGCCGTCGATCGGAATTGAGTCAAACCTCCGTACTTCAGTTTCCAGAAATTTCGGAGGCTGAACCTGACGGTCGAAACCGAGTACCGTCGATCGAAATTTGCACGAGTCTGAACCCGATCGCGACGGTCGGAAGTTGGACACGCGTCAGCTAGCTAGGCTACTGTCAGGCCGAGAGCTTCATTGCAAAAAGCCCCCAGCCCCACTTAGTTTTCTTATGTGTGTTGGATACTAGGGAAGTCTGTTCTCACATGATAAACGGGGGTTTGAAGTCGGACCCTACCAAGGTGACTCCTTGGGTCAAACAAAGGGTTGTAGGGGCAAGAAATCCGGAACCCTATTTTCCCGAGGGGTCGGTGGGCTGCGAGCAGCAATTTTGATTTTGATTCCTAATTGTTTGATTTTGATTTCTAATTATTTGATTTTGATATCAAATTATATGATGTTGATTTCAAAATATACGATGTTGATTTCAAATAGGTAATTATGTGTCTGTGATTCCGAATGGTTGCAACGTTTGCGCTGCAATAGCGAGACCCCGCTCATCTACCTCTTTCCGTGCGGGCGGGTGTACCCCCCAGGAAACCCCCTTCATCATGCTCACGCTCCTCATTTTGGATAGATGAGGAGGATGAAAATACAGAGGGGGGCGAGACCCCGCTCATCTACCTCTTTCCGTGCGGGCGGGTGTACCCCCCAGGAAACCCCCTTCATCATGCTCACGCTCCTCATTTTGGATAAATGAGGAGGATGAGGATGATGAAATATACCTTCGCCATATTTCTCAAACCTCGGCCCCTACCCTGCGGAAAGGGAGCTCATCATTCTCCTCCTCCTCATTGAGGAAAATGAAGGGAATGAAATGAGGTGACCGCTGCAAGCAGGAGGAAGGCTGCAAGCAATGTGGGTCTTTCCGGGATCAGAGCCTTTCCTGAGCAGAGGACAGGTTATTAGTTCTTCAAGTGCACAGCCGGGCCATTACATGTGACGCAGACCGGTTCAAGAGGTAAGCCGTCAACACAGCAGATTCTGTGGCAAGGACATCCGCCTAATTCGAAATCCATTTGTCTGGTAGCAGTTGTCAACGGTGAGCTGTTGCCAGAAGTTGTGCAAAGCTTGCCACAAGGATCACATTCCCCCCCCCCTACCCCCGGCGCTGTCAGTCGCGTGCAGCGCTGCCAGGCTGCAGCCTGAT